ATAAATCACGCGGAAAATCGTTCCGGAAGCGATAAAGGCCGGGCGACCAAAAATCTCCGAGATTTTTGGTTGCGCCGCCCGCTCGAAGATTTTAAAGCCTCTAGATTTTCCGAAAGACTTTAAAATCTCCGAGATTTGAATTTTTCTAGGCAGATTGCAGAAAATATTTTCAAGGCGAATCGGAAAATCTAGGTCGTGCGTGAATGAAATGATCGCAAGCGATCGCGAAATTCTGAAAAATTGTAATTCTCCGTCTCGTCACGAAATTTATATTCTTTTCTGAATCTTTATATACTTAATCAAAGAGAGATAAATCCTATTATCTCGGATCTATATATTCTCCGTATCGAATATATTCAAAAAATAGAAATATTTCGAAATCTCGAGAATTTTTTTCCTATGCAATCCCCGGAATCCAGCCGAATCTTTCTATATTTATTTCTCTAGGTTTTCTATATGGCGATTCAGGAGAGAATTTCAATCCTCATAGATAAATATAAAGATCGTGTAATTCTAGAAAATTCGAATCTCTATCAAATATATATATTCTGACGAGCAATAATATATATAATCAAAGAAATGTAAATCGCGTAGAAAATCGTTCCGTAAGCAAAGACCCCTCCCCCCCAGCCATCACGTCGCCCACCCCAATAATCTCGAAAAATTTAATGCTACTAGTTTTTTCCGAAGAATCCTAAAATCTTGAAATTTTTAAAAATAGCCTTAGACTGCTAAACGTAGGAGCGAAATGACCAAAAGAGATTTTATCGTAGTAAAATATTTCGACGAATTTCTATTTCTTATTTGAAAAATCATAATTTTCATTTATCCATATCAATAAATTTATCATATTTCCTATTCCTTTAGATGAATAATCTTATATTTTTTCTCTATATAATAAAACATAAAACAATATAATCACGAGAATTTTATGTTCTTCATTTTTTCTGAATTATTTATAATGTCTAATATGAATAAGAAATTATATCTTAAATCAATATTCGATTTTCCAATATTTTTTTCATATTTAATCTAAACTAACGTATCTCCAAAATCATACCCTATATCCCAGAAATGAGACTCTAATATAATAGAGCAAATCAAATAATAAGAGCTAGATTAATTAGATGAGCAGGCTCCTTGAAATTCCGCAAAAGATATAGAAATATTATTTTTCTAATTTATTTCATCAGCTTATATTATAACTATTCAATATTCAATGAAATAAGGTGGAATATGATCAGTATACGCGTATATAATTAATAGAATCAAGAGTGCCAAGAGTCGTATAAAATTTGTGCTGAGAGTAATTATAATATTTATTACTTCTTCGGAATATATAATAGGATAAGTATTTCTAGACAATCTAGGACGCTATTTAAGTGATGCCAAAATATAGTCCAAATAGCAAATATATTAGTATATCGTCGTTATAGCATTCGGATATTTCAAATCATGTTGAGTCATGCTCAATCGTCTCATGTAGCCCTGGGCAAGCGAAGATGTAAAATTGAATTCAGCCATAATAAAATAAATTACGAGTTAATATATTTGAAGGGTAAGTGCGAAGCCATGAAAACTAGGAAGAATATGGAAGTACGCTTGATTGATTCATAAATCTTTGAGCCCTCGGAGTGTCATAGCAATGAGCCAAGTGGCCCCCAGTCGGCTGCATTACGACTTGACTCCGACCTTGCACGAGTCAATACATTCCGGAACGGATGTATGTTAAATTAATTGGTGGCTGCACGTGAAGCAAGCTCTCGCTTCAGCTGTTGCGGCCAAATTAGAGACTAGTCCTATACAGAGCTGCACAAGTCGCCGGGATCTTAAAAGCATCGGTTCCCTGCGGCTAAGTCATGGAAGAGGGAAGAGCTCACGCGTTTTTCAGCGGCTCCGCCACTTGAGGAGACCTCTGACAAAGGCGTGATCTGGCTGTCGTGGCTGGGCTTAAGACACTCAGCGGTGCAAGGCAGACGGGTTATGAAGAAATTGCAGACTGGTAAATTGCGGTTCACACTGGGATTTGTCGAAATCAGTGTCTCCTTTTCCCCGTGTGGTCGAGTTTGTTGAGCATGTTGCATGGCCTGCCCGGATGTCTGCTGATTCACCAGTTCAACTGCAAGGCAGGCATGGTTCGTCATGTCTCACAGGTGGCTTTGGGGTCTAGGGTTTAGGGATGCATGGGGAAACGACTGTTGCCGGTTGATGTTGCATGAGCATGGTTCAAAACTTCTGCGAGGACAGGATCTCAAAGGCTCGATGGAAGAAGCTTCTGGTTGTAGCACTGAGGATCAGGATTGCTACAATTCTGAGCCCCGAACCCTCGACTCTGGAGAAAGGCCCCATCATCCCTTGAAAGTATGAATCTCGCGGATAGCCACCTGGCCTTTAGAAGTAGCTGCCCCTCATTTACAAATATGCAGAGGTTCTTGCTGTGAAAACGAAGATAACAAGTGACCTGGAACGCAGAATAACCCTGTGGACGCCAGATGATCATATTGAGTGAGGGTAGACATATGTGGACATGCTGGGATCAGGCTCGAGGAGTTCATGTGGATCAAGTCGCGGAGACCGGCCCAATAGCGGAGGTCACCACCTTTTGGGCCTCGGCCCTGAAGAATCAACTAACTTGCGCCAACAGTGGGGGACTGAGCCACCCAACTGGGATACACGCCTCTTGGCCTGACCCCTGCAACCGAGAAACATGGTAAAATCCTGCAGCTGCAGACCTCCATGTCCAGGGATAGAAATCTAGCCTAATAATTGAGGCCTGAGGCTAGGATTTTATCCTGGTTGTGCAACTCCAGTGATGAAGTTGCGATGCATGGCAAACCTCCATAAAGCCCATGTAGCATCCGACAGAACCACCCTAGACTCTGAATTGAATCCCCTGAAGACCCTTCAAAATCACTCAGGGCGCCCAACACATTCTCCTTGGCAGCGAAGCGGTCGCCTCGCCACTTACCCTGAACCACCTCAGTAGGCTTGGGCTTCTCAGATGGCTGTCTAGGCTTTAAAGTGATGGGTTTCAATCAGTTTTGGGTTTGCGACTTAGGATTGTGTAGCTGCAGTTTGCGGCTTAAAGATTTCGAAATTGAGGTTCGAGGTGTTGGGATAGTGAAGTTGAGGTTAAGTTTTTGGAATCGCATTGACTTGTCAAGGTGTGGGCTTCAGTGGGTCTACTAAACAGTCCACTCCCCTGACATAATTCTTTTGACCTTCAGCAACGGAAGGGTTGTCATTGTGTTTCCCAAGGGGCTTCCAGATCGTAAACCCTCGGCGTGTCTGAACCTAGCCGAGCGGCTTGATCTTTGACGTACTCTTCGTTTTTCAGCCTCAGGCAGAGGGTGGGACTGTTGGTCTGGGCTCAAGGGATGAAACTCTTAGATGCAGAGATCCCCTGAGGTAAGCTGTGCTGCGTACTTTGCGGCCAGTTCTTTGGCCTGCTCCACTGCCTGCCACAGAGCTTCAAGGCTGCTTTGCAGCACCTGTGAAGCATGATGTAACTTGACATTTGTTGGAACATGCATTTATCAAATGGCCTCTTGTATGCCCCAAAATGATTCTGACTGAGATGTTTGACTCTCAGAAAACATCCTTAAGTTGAAGAAACCCCCATGCTGGCCCTGGTGCAGCTGATACTGCGCTATGTGAGTCCTGGAGACCAAGGTTTTTTTGGCGAAAGTTCCACAGCCCATTTTACATTTTGAGCCAAAGTGTTGAAGCATGTTGAAGCAAAAGATGGCTGGTACGCAAAGGATCGTAGACATTTCCTGGCTAGACCGCACATCTCTTCGTGCTTCTTTCGGTGATGTGTTGCAATTGGTGGTCTACTACATCCTTCTGTTAGGCTGGCACGGCTGTGTCGTATCCCTAACACGGGTTCCTTGTTCACAACCTTCTAATCTCAAGCAGGGAGTGGCTGTCGCGCCTCCTGCTCTTCAGAGTCTGCTTGCTCCAGGAACATAAACAGCCGCTGGTAGTCCGAAAACCCCAGGACGTCGGAGCTCTGCCAGAAAGCCAAGGCTTGAGGATCATCTGTGCTTCCCACATCTGCGGCCACCACCTTAGCGAAGCGCAAAACCATGGTGAGAGCAGCTTCTAGATCTGGCCAGGCGCTAAGAAACAACCCCAAAAAAGATGCCCTAGGCTGAAGGGGACGATTCCCTATATTGCTGGGACCACATGCTGTGTTCTACCCCTGTGCAGCCTTCAAGAGCATTCAAGCTAGGATCCTTCGGGGAGGGGGTCACGACCAATCACAGGCCCGTTCTTTCAAATTTCTCACGCCAACGAATTGGAGGCCAAAAAAAAGGCCTGAGCTATGATTTGTCGGGTCCAAGGGAAGCAAAAACTAGGCACTACTGCTTAAGGTCAACTTAGCGGATATTCTCTGCCTTCTATAGCCCGTAACCCTCAAGAGACGAGTTCAGTACCGTCATCTGTATACCTGGGGGAAGCCGAGCAAGGCACTCGAAGCAAGTCCTCGTGCTCTAAAGCTTCTGTCCCGATTTGCTCCGCGAGCAAGGACTGTGTAGAGGCAGACCTGGCGTTGTGCCAGCATGTGGAGCCTGGAGACGTGCCTAAGTGGTCTTCCCCGCTGGAGCTCGGAAATCCTACTTTCTCTGGACCATCCGTACATACTCATACGCAATGCAGGTGCTCCGCTACCATTCCAGCGCTTCTAGCAGCAGTGTGGTCAACTGTGAATGTGTCGGACCAAACGTCCGCTGCTCCTCATGCCGTCTCAGTAGCATCTAACCAGGACAGGATGACTGACTTGGAGGCTCAAAGAGCGACTTCAACCTCACCATGTGCAAAGACGCTCAGTCCGCGCAGGCCGTGTCTGCATGAAAGAAAAGCGCTGCTGAGCTTGCTGCTGCTGATGGGTAAAGAACCGAACTTGCTGCTCGTGCTCCATGAAAGTTTTGGATAAGCCTCCCTTGAATATCTGGAGTCTGAACATCTTGTCCTCAATCGCTCCAGAACCGATGAGCCTGTAGACGACTACCTGCTGAAGGCAATGCCAGGTGAAGTAGCGGGCACAAGAAACTCAGCAAGTCTCATACGATGTCCCAACAAACCCTATTTCCAGTCCAACGGCAAGGGGAAAATCAAGTGGAGTTTGCTATGCCTATCCCATACCGCCAATACCGCCTCGCGCTTCTGCCCAATTCGATGCACTCGATCGATGGCTTGCGCATCAGCTGAAGGATTCCATGCTGGATCAACCAGGATCACTCTGTTGGCGCCAGTCACAGTCAAACCCGTGCCACCAACCTGCATGCTCAAGCCTCAGCTGGCTTGATGATAGCACCGCAAACGAGAAGTGCTGCAAGCTATCAGCAGGGCACAGGCAGAGAGCGAAGTATCGCGAATCTTCTTGCTGGAACTTCTGCAGCTTCAGATCGCGATCCTAGGGCACACAGCACGCTCAGCAATCTGTCAGAAATCAAGAAACAAGGCAGTTGTAGCAGATCCGAGCCTTCGGATCGATGCTACCATCAATGCGCAAGAACTTCAGGCCCAGAACTCTGAGAACACAGCCCTGCAGTTGAGCGGTTGAGCGTGTCTGACACATATCCACACACTATTCAACAGCCAAGGCTGCCTGAATAAGGTCCAGCATCCGAACGCTCTGCGAGAAGATCAAGCAGCGATGCCCTGCACTGTCAACCCTTTCATACAGCTTTCACATACATAAGGAGCTACACATGTTAAGAGCTGCGCCAAATCAATAGCACAATTCATCGCAGCGAATTCGCAACGCTGGCTAAACGTGAACGCTATCTGGTCCAAAGTAAGATCCTATTCTATCACCTTGTGGCATGGCATTGCCAGGGGCTCCAGCCTGGCCTCGCCGCTGAAGCTGTGGCAGCAGCACAGAGAGAACTCTCAACTTCGTAGAGAGCAGGGCAGCACCCTGAGCAGAGTTGGGCCTCAAGCGCCAAGAACAATGGGCTCACAGCATGTCTGGGCACTGACAAATGACACACACACACACACATCGTGTCTGAGAGTTTGTCAGAAGCGCCCGCAGTCTGGGAAGAAGCTCATGGCACTCGGGTGCCTCTGAAGCTACTCACTTGCTCGCGACCAGCACAAACTGGCAAACAGAGCTCTGAGTTACCTGGAAGGATACCCTTTGTTTGCTGCAGCACTTCCTACCAGCACCGGGGATTCTGCTCTGCAAAGGTGAGGGAATGCGTCGAATCATCAACGGATGCCCATGCACGACAAGGGAGATGTCGCTTAAGAGCAACAAATCTTTAATGATCTTTATGCTTTACAGCCTTTTTTGGAATATTGCTGCTGCCAGTGCGGTTTCGAAGGCTGCTTCAATTGTCCTAAACGCTTTAGGCATCAGCTGCTTGTGATACTGCCTCGTAAACGATGCAACAAATGAAAGTCACAAAAAGCGTCTACACATCAAGGCGCTGATGTTGGTGATTGCCAGGAAGGTCATCGAGACAAGTTACACCTACACTGGACGCAATCTGGGAGTGTAGCGCTCCCATACAAGTAGACCCCTGTGCATTGTTTACATGCTGAGCCTTCCCCTCAGCCACGAGAACCCATCTTGCACAGCTTAAGCACTGCAAATCCCAAAGCATGGGCACAAATTCTGCCGCAAATCGCCGAACTGAAGCTCTGAAATCTTGAACCTCCTTCTGGCCTCCTGGCTACTCCAGCATTACGAAACATGTCCAATGTGCCCTGCTCAGGCCTCCTGCGTGGCTACCTCTTCCTGTTGCAGAAGGCAAGGGGGCTGGGCAAAGGAGTCGCCAACATGCATTGCAAGATTCTGCTAAAACGCCTTTTAGGCTTACGGGATTTAAGATTTCGGGCACGGCCCCATCTCAGGGTATTCCCTTACATGTGGAGGGGCGTAAAGCTTTGGACCCAAAAATCTTAGTCGGGAGAGATGCGAGGAAGCTTGACCAAACTGGATAAGACCAACCTGCAAACGCAAGCTGGGAGAAATGCAAACAGCGCATCGATCGCAACTGTATCAGTTTAATGTCAAGCGACAAACATCGCAAGCACAACTGACACCAGCAGCCACATGCAAAAAAAGCACAGCATGATCCCGGTCACCATCGCCATCACCATCACTACCATCAAAGTAGCAGCCGATTTATGGATACATTTAAAAACAGCTTAGATTAGAAATGCCACCCCCTGCATTCCGTCAGCCGCAAGTTGCATGTATCCCTGCATCCCCTCCAAAAGCCCCAAACACCAATTTCCACAAAGCACGATAGCCCTAATGCCAATTCCATAACCCTGAATTCTGAACCTGACCCGCTAAACTTTCAGCTTTAAATACAACTCAAACAACTCAAACCACAAACCGCTATGTAAAACAGTAGTCTAGTAGCAATCTTGGAAGGCTCAGGGCCTGCGTTGCGGCTTCTGGCGGCTCTGCCTTTGTTGGCGGTGCCGCTGGCGCCCTGCTGGACTGAAGGGTTTCGGCCTGCAGCTTGAGGTGGCTAAGGGCAATGAAGGGGGAGCTCATGGAGCTTGGCAGTAAAAGGTTTACTGGAGTTTGGGCTCGGGCGGCAGCTTGCGAAGCTGTTTGGTGCTTCCGGGATTAAGGGCTCCGGGTGGTTGACACCAGGGGGTGGAGATCTTTTGAGCAGGAACTTAGCTGTCCAATGCTGTTTGTGGCCGTGGCTTCGTTATTCTTGTATGGGTATGTCGGTATGTCTGATGAGGAAGGTGGAGTAAATCAAATGTTCCACATCGTGCTTTTTGGAAAGGACAATTGACAGAGGAGGATGCCGTGCAAGTACTTTCCTTCACAGATCTTCACAGCAAGACTTTTGATCCAAGGGACTCATTCGCGAAACAAACCCTCCTACGAATGCAAGCAGTCATTCCCCAAGCCAAAAAATCCAGATTTTTCGAAGCATAAGGCACTTCGCACTGTTGACTTTGGCTGTGCCAAGCCGAGCAAACTTGCAGGAAAGAGTGCTGGCTGCCGAGCAAACGACTTCACAAGTTGCTGGGCACATAGTCATCTCGCAATGAACTCCCTCAGATACATGAAGCCATACGTCTTCAGGACTGCTGGAGTCGGCTCAAGGGCCACACTACTTGTCGCTATCTGGCAAGCACTTGCCAAAGTGGTCTGGGCGCCGCAACTCAATGGACATCGGCTTCAAAGACCTGCTGGGATGCCGTTCCTTCCGCGCTCCCGTCGCCAAGTTCTGGCATTCCTGCTTGGAAGCTTGGCCAAGCTGTTTGGAGAGTTGGCGTTGCAGCAATCGCTGCCAGCTGCATTGGTGGATACTTTGTCCCCAGCCAACCCGTAAATCCTGTTCGCCTTGCCAAATGAACAGTGAATAGTAGTCGCTTAGAATATGAACGGAGGCTTGCAGCGCCTGCACATCCGCGCACTCAGGAGGTACACTGCTGTCTCTACTTATGAGCGATCTATGTTGACATCCTATGCCGACATGACAGGACCAACTACTAGTGCTAGCAGCAGCCAATTCCTGAAAACCGACAAAAGTCAGCACGCAACAGCTATCAATGTGTGCTTGCGCACTTCTCATGTGTTTGGGAAACCCTGATCTGATGACTTAACCCATCCTGAGAAGCTGGCCCGCCACACGTTGTACTCATCCTGTGGCCTTGGTTCAATGATGCGAATGTGAGAGCGACAGTCCTTTGGAGTGAAGGTACGGTACCTGTTCCTCAATCGAATCGCTGACAAGGCATCTGTGCCATTACGAAAAGGACTTCTGGAAATCTTCTGCAAAAGCACGTAAAATGGGACGCCGGCAGGCAAAGCAGAGGATGACCACACCTTTCAATCCGTGCACATCTCAGCTTTCACCACCCCCTGGTGCAGAAAGTGTGCCAAGTTTGCATACCTAGTGCAGATGGGAGGCAGCTTCTTCAGCATTGCTATGCATCGCAACGCCTCGCCAGCAATCTGCTTTGGATGGGATGCTAGACCCGACACCTCTTCAAATGACATACCGTGACCCTCTGATATCGATCTTGCAGAAGCAAACCATCGTCTTTTTCTGGCCGATGCACCTCTCATTCTTGCTGGAAGCTGACGCCCAGCCTCCATGCCGCATTTTGTTCCTCCCCTGGCCTTGGACCTGACACTGCTGCTTTTTTTGCCGCTAGAAATAATGATATTCCGGATATCGGTATGATTGCGCACCATGTCAATTTCTTCTGCTTCTATGACAGGTATGATCTTCTCAGTCGGTTGATCAGCCCCTGACACCAGCTCACTTGTGAGGAACAGATTGTAGAGCTCCAGCTGCGCAGGGGTTAGATTCAACCACCTCAGTCGATGCCGTTCTTCCTGATGAGCTTCAAAACACATGGCCTCTGTCTTCAAAAACGTGATCCGTTTCTGGGAATCAGAAATAGTCGGCAGCTGCGGGGACTCAAAGGGGGATTATCTTGATGACTTCAAAACATGCCTTCTGCGTCTAAAGCTCTTCGGGTGCAGGGAGCTGGGGAAGCTACATCTCTGAAGACTAAGTCGTGGACAGCACCACGTCCATCTTTGGCGGCAGTTCGCCAGGACTGGCGTCCAGGCTCGCCGCTGGGCTTTCGGTGCAGGCCTAGGCAGGCATGCTGTAAACCAGGCCTGGCATGCTTAGTGAATTTAGCGAAAGCCGTGTCATTCTCAAGAAATGAGAAGCTGCGCTTATGTGGAAGCGAACCTTCAAGCCTACCACATGGCGTCGGTGGATGATTGCTCTATCTGATAGACTCTATCTGGAAATGGTTGACATGGCCTGGATATGCTTGGCAGTAGTGTGTAAACTGCCAGCTTTCCCTACATGAGTACAATTACGCTGGCATTGATGCACCGAGATGTACATTGACATGCATGGCATTCTGCAACTTTGTGTGAGCACACTGACGTGGTCGTTACGAAGCCTCCGACAGCCCACAGCTCTTCTGTAAGGTGCTGGCAACCTCACACTTCAGCCGCCGAAGGAAATGTGGGGCTGTGAGCCGTTTTAGCTCGCGGGCCTTGGCAGCTTGATAGATCCGAGACAAGTCCTTGCGAACAATTGCTTCTGGACTGTACGATGCTGGTACGAGTATTTAGGGTTGAAGCGCTTGGGTGATCAATGCTTTTGAAGTTTGCAGCTTGGAGCTTCTGCTGCGGTTTGGAAAACATACTGAAAACATCAATGCTGGTGTCTGGACGCTCAACTAAGATGGCTCCGTGCTGCGCGAAGTCCCAGTGACAAGTGCGGGTACAAGGGGCTGAGGTATACACGAGGTGATCCTTCAATTCCACGGCAAATCGGGAAGCGTTCCTTTTCGAGCCTAGTACACGAGGACTTGTCTCACAGTGTCCCCACAGGGTCTCCACAGCTTTCTGTGAAGATGCACACTGGCCTTTCGCAATCTGGTCCGAGAAATTCCTGTGCCAAGCCGATGAGGCCCATCTTGCTTGGAGGCAGAACCTTGCGGCCTCTCGAAAGTGGCATGATTTCCCAGCAACGCAGGCTGTGCCTCGGTGTAATGCAGGATCAATACCAAGCAATTAAGTGAGAGCCATAGCTGACAATGAAGATGAAGAACTCGACTCTGTCAATAGCATATCTATGGGCAGTACGAAATCCATCAGCGCCCAAAGATCGCTGAGCTTGTTCTGCAAGGGGGTCCTTGTCACGAACACCACATCATCCTCCTCATCATCATCAACAACAACAAGAGCTGTCTGTTTTGTTGAGAAGGCTGCAAGACCTTGCTTCCTGTGGAGTACGAGCACCTACTGAGAGCTAGGCCCAGTCAGAAGGATTCGAGATCGAGCATTGATCCGGCGAAGCACACGGCCAGATTGACTCGATGGATTCTTGATCTGATGACCCTCATCAACGATGAGGACATCCCAGGGCCTGAGAGCAAGAGCATGCAAAAGCCGTGGCCAAATGATTTTCTGCTGTTTTGCTTACTGAGGGCCATGCTTCTGCTCGTCGCCCACCGCCTCAGGCCTGGTCTCTCACCGAACCAGAACCACTCCAAAACAGCTTTTGAGGCTCGCGAGGCTCTCCTTTCCCGAGCTGCAGGCAGCTCATCCTCCTCACTCGGACTGTCGTCATCACGGCACGCGCGCCTGCCCAGCAACAGTTGCTGCATAGAGCATGCAGGTGATGGCCCATTACCTGGTGTTTCGCTTGCGCTTGCGGGATTGTGACGCACTAGCTTCGGTCAAGCCGGCAGTACCTGCCAAAAATTCTTGGGTGCCTGGAAACGCTCGGCATTTCAGGTCTGAGGTATTCACGAATCTGGTGGATGCATGTGCGGGCAAGATCCTCAGCATTCATCTTGGGATTGGCAGCACATGGCAGCCTAAGAGGCTGTTGCAGTAGGCTGTGGGCATACGAGATAAGCAGCACGCCACCAGCGGATACCTTACCACACAATGGGAAGCTTAGGCAAAGCCAGTGGAAGGGGCACAGCCAAGCATTGTGGATGGTTGCACTCTTCTTTGTCTCACACGTTGAGTGAATTAACACGCCTGAGCCATGCACGTGACCTCGTAAAGCTGCGCGTCGCTCGGGCAGAGCACCGTGCATCACATGCACTGCTAGCCCGGTATTCTGAGCCTCAATGTGAGATGGGAGCACGCACAGGAGGTATACAAGTAGCTTGTGGAGTCTCCAAAAGTCTCCAGCTGAGACCGCAGCCCACGCTGCAAGTTCTCTGCGCCACTGCTCAAGAAGAGTGACGGGAACCACCACCAGGAACCGGGATCCTGCTCGGTTGACATTCTCGTCTTCCTGAATATATGCTTTCTCCAGCCTTGGTCCGTGAACTTCAGGCAGGCCAGAAAGGCTGCCGTCTGCACCGTCTTCCCAAGGCCCATTTCATCGGCAAGGATCCCGCCGAAGCCTGCAAATTGCCATTCAAATTCGTTGGTTCAGAGCCAACGGTCCGCAGAGTGCACTAAGGCGCAGCTGAGGCCTGGGCCTTTGTGGTATAAATTCCACATCCAGACGACTCCTTGACGCTGGTAATGGTAAAGCCGATCGTAGACCGAGCGAGGGAGCTTGATGTCTGAGCCAGAAAACGACAGCCTGCAGACCTTGGTTGGCTGTGCTAGGGTTGTGGCGCAGAACTTCTGCGCTGCAAGTCAACTCAGATGACATTTGTATCAAAAACATGCCAAGACGCGTCTTTGGATATCTCCCATTTGCCTGCTGCCTCGGGCGGGAGGGTGCCACTCCACTGTTCAGCCTCATGGCAGTCACACGGGTCGCAGCATGGCGTACCAGTGCAGCATAAATTGCTGTGTCGCGTGCAATCCCACCATCGGCAGCAACAATCTGGTGGGCATCCTGTTGAGAGGCATCAGCTGCCTCAAACAGACATAGTGGGAGCACGAGCAGCTGAGCCATCAAAGGACAAGCCCCATGCGTAGTCTAAACAAATGCGGCTTGAATGTTTGGCAATGTTTGGATGCAAATAGGCCTCTTCATGCGGCTCATCATCTTCCATCGCCTCCTCCTCGGATTCTTCAGGTTCCTCAGCCTCTGCATCGGCATGGCCATCATGGCCATCTGCTTCGCCCTTGGTTGGCCGTGCTGAGGGTTGTGG